GGGGGAGGAGTGTGGGGGTGCAGTCACACGTGTGTGTCTGTGTGTGTGCATGGATACACACGCACACGGGTCAGAACCAGGGGGTGGGAGTTGGGGTGTGCACAGGTGTGTGTGTGCTTGCACAGGTGTATCTGTGTGTGTATGTGTGTATACATGTGCACAGCCCCCCCCTCTGTGTTAGGGTGTGTCAGGACATTCATACGCACATACCCAAATGTATGTCTGCTGTGTGTGTGTGTGTGCGCGCGCGCGCATGGGTGTAGGTGCATAGGCACACACACATGAGCACCGGGGGGGGGTGTGCATGGGTGTATGTGCGCACATGAGATCAGCACACTGTGTGTGTGTGTGTGTGTGTGTGTGTGTATGGGCACACACACACAGCTGTGAGCAAGAGTGGGTCCGGGTGTATGCATGTATATGTGTGCACACATGAGTGAGAGCAGCAGGGGTGTGTATCTGCGGGGTGTGCATGTATGTATGTGTGCACACGTGAGCACAATGAGGGGATGCAGGTGTCTGTGTGTGCACACAACTGTGTGAGCACAAGGGTGTGTGCACATGTGTATGTGTCCACACGTGTCTGTGCTCAAGTGTGTGTATGTGCACATGCAAAGTGTGTGAGCATGTGTGTGTGAGCTCGTGTGTGTGTGTGTGTCCATGTAGGTGTACATACATGTGTGTACCCAAGTATGTATGTGGACATGTAAAGTTTGTGGCAGATGTGGTGTGTGAGCACAAGTGTGTGTAGATGGGCATGTGAATGTGGGTGCACAAAGTGGGGTGTGTGAGTGCATGTTCACACGCACAAGCATGTATGTGCACACCCAGGCGTGTGTGCAGGCACTGGGGGGGAGGAGGGGGTGTGCACACAAGTGCGTGTGCAGGCACAGGGACACGCACTGGCACACAGGTACATAGACCGCAGTGAGGGGGGTGAGCGTGTCCATGTGTGTGTGCATGCCAGGGCCAAGGGTGGCAGAGTGACACCGTGTGTGTGTGTGTCCACATGTGTGTGCGAGAGGGGCATGTGTGTGCCCAGGCGAGCTGTGAGAGGGGCTTTCTAGTGGCCCAGGTGGCTACA